TTGTAAATTAATTAACGGGCATACAGTTAATTAAAAAAGAATTTATTAAGCATTTTACAGGATATGGAATACCCATCTTTTGGCATAGGGCATATATAATGAACGAGTTTCGATGTCCCACACCAAGGATAATCAACTCACGACGTTGGAACGATGAGAGAAATTTGTAAAAATTCACATACATATTTTGACAAATAATTTTCCCTCCAGGCCAGAAAAATAAACCAGTATTTGAAGAAGTAGTCCTGCGTTACAGCAACACACAGAAAATTTTAAGAGAATCTCACGAATTCTTGCAAAGTACGATTTTTTGCGCTTGCTTTTGGCGCCTTTAACATGTTCCGTTCAATTTCCATGAAAGAGAAAATAGGTGCTCGTTTATGGTCCGCTAAACGGGTCTTACTTTCAAGTTCATTGATGCCTTAGAAATGATCATTACTGCTTTCTTGGCATATTTTTTAAGCTTTAGACTACAACAGTTTTACGAGCAATTGTATAAGTTTAGGTTAAAATGCTCTGTTAACCGCTCTGTAAATCTGTCACCTCCGCTGCTCAAATAACGCGCATTTAACCTTACTGTGCTTTGGATTTCCTCCGTATTCGGCTGGGTTCCTACATCCTCAAACTTGAGTGAACACACAAGCATGCAAATCATGATTGCTCAACATTTCCCATTCGACGGCACCGCCAAAACTGTCTATTAGACATTCTGGGCATTTTCACCTTAGTCTATCCGGACCTTTACGTTAAGCAAATCTATATATTTAGTAGTCTAAAAAAGAACGCCTTCCTTAATAGAATTTAAGTGCACAGTATAAGATGACTACGTACACTTTATATGAGTATTAGCATCAGCGCCGATTTTGAATAAGATGTTTTTGATGAAATGAACAGCAGGAGGCCAGTTGGTATTGTTAAGCCACTGCCTTTTTTACCCGAAGAAAATCAGATTAAACTGTGTACTTTGACAAAAACATTTGCGTCCTGTAAAAAATGCCGTGATCCTTCTAAACAGGAGGACCTTCTTCATGAAACTCTTCCACTATTTAACGAGGTTCTTAATTTTTTTAAGTATATATTTTTATAAGATCTTTCATGATTCCCCATGTCGGGAAATGGTTGAACTGTTTCCTGATATCCATGCGTTTTGTGCGCATGTTTCCGGTCTTTTTGTAAAGGAAATTAAAATTCGTGCAATCGATCAAACGTCAGGTAATTTTTACCCCTTCATAATTGTCCATTCACAGAGGAGGGTAGCAAGCTCATAGCTGCGTACTTGGAAGGCGGTCTCAGTCATTTTAACGCGGACGGTAACACATCCAATGACCAAGAATGTAAAACCGACTACGACAGTTTACCCGTCGGAACTCTTCTTTTGCTGTCGTTGGAGCAGCTTGCTTGTGGTGCGAGCCTTATAGAATGCATGGCAGCAGCCAGTGTTCCGTCAACTTTAGCCAAATGTTTGTATATATTTCTGGATTTACCGCCCTCCGAATCTTCGGAGTTATCAAAGTCCCGTCTTTTATTTCAACGCAAGTTTACTGGCGTAAGTTTACCTTAAAACTCTCCCTGAGGCTCAAAGTCCTCACAAATGTCGAATATATATTTTTGGGTGTGAACCTTATTGATTTTTGTCTTAAGGTCTATTTTTTCCTGTACCAATTTGCAAATAACGCTCCACAGTTGATTGCCATTGGTATCAAATAGCCGCTAGCGTGAAACGCTGCTGAAGAAGCAGGTTTGCAGCAAGGATAATCTGCGCACTATGCTTGCAATTACCAAAATTTAGTGATAACTTAATGCCTTTCAAAATTTCTTAATTGTCTTGCTAAATCATGCTTTGTTCTTCGTCTCGTGGACTTTTGACTCCGTTCAATTTACCGACAGTTTGCATGAAAAGGGAGATATAGACTTGGCTAATCTGTGGATAATCAGTAACAAAATTGTTTAAAACATATCGGTGGGCGACTTAAGTTTTAAATGTTTCCCGCTATTATAAATCTTCACATTTTCCGTTTTTACACTTTAAAATAACATAATTTTTTTTCTATCGCCCGCAGATCCTTCAAAAAATCTGTGTGTCGGCGTTCGCGGCGGAGGAATTGGTACAGGCTGATGCACTTCGCCATCTTTTCAGCGCCTCTGTTGACCCATGCTCCTCTGAAAATGCGTGTTGGCGTCGAAACAGCTGCAAAATTTTGACAACCCTTGCACAGAATTGCTTAACGCCTTTAGTCATTCAGTATATTCACGGTGAGAACATTTCCCTAATCATTCTTTCGTGTGGAGAACATAATACCTATACCTACGTTGAATACAGAAATTCATCAACTATTTTCAATTACGTGAATAATGACGGATGGCTTAGAAAGAGTTTTCGGTTACATCGGGGAATACTTATAATTTAATAAATCCTGGAAAATAGGCAACAAACTAACAAGAAACTTTGCTGAAAATGGTCTTACGTTTATAGGAACTTTGAAATTGTTGACGAAACCCTCAGCTAACTCTACGGTTGCTTACCTTATACATAGAATTTTAATAATATTCAATGATTAATTAAAAGCAACTATGTATAATGCTGTCTAAGAACAGTTTTCTTTGTCTTTGTTGTTTGTTTGTCTGAATAATGCAGAAGGGATATGCGCTCGAAATGTTCGCATGCTTGATGCTAGCATGCCCCTTCAAGTTCTCGTACGCTAAACTATAGACTAACTTGCAAATGAATTTATTCAGAAATTTTAACAATTGACCCTATCCCCAGACCGTCACTCTCTATTTTCACAACTCTTTGAAAACCCCAATTTCACCCTTCATCCACTTCAGACTCGAGCTGCATTGCAGAGTGCATCGAAAATCTGCGGCAAATGCGATTGCCAAAAGCAGACGGTGTTGAGACCTTCACCTCACTTTTTCACGTCCTATCGGAATCCTCCCGGTCTTCAACACAACTTTTGGACGACTTCCATGCCTGTGGAGGCTATTCGACACTTACGGAATACCTGCTTAAGTATGGTTTTTCGACTTTTAGCCATATTTACGCTTGTTGCCACTGAATTCTTACTCAGTTTTGGACAAATGAGGTTATTCCTTCCTCTCTCCATATTCCTAACTTAATCTTCCAAAACGCGTTTTCTAAGCTTCTGAGACGTTGGCCCAGAATTTGCTCTTTTATGATGTTTTTCGACAACAATGGTTTCATTGACATTGGACTGAAAAACAAAACCGCAGTTGGGGATAATCCGGGTCTAATGTCGAAAGCAGCTTGTATGAGCCTAAGTTCTCCACAAACGTCAACAGGTAGGCGTACTGCGAACTGACTGATCGGAGAAGGGGGAAATACGCGGCGGTTGAAAGTCGTCTGTATTCCTTGATGATTGTTCAGTGGACGACAGAGTGCCTCTTGTATTGACTTAGAATAAATCAGTGGACTGTGTTAAACAGTCGAAAAAGTGCTCCAGTCTTTAATCTGTTTATTGATATAGCACCGCTTGGGCGCTGTCAATCGAATTTCTTCACCGTTTCCAGATGCTGGGCTTGTTTGGAGTCCAACACACTATGAAGACTAGGCCTGACCACTACCGCACGCTTA